AGGATGGTGGGAAGGAATCTGGGGATCTAGTGGATCATGGCATGAGTCAGTAGTGATGCGCTCTTGTGTGGCACGTGTCATTGCAGACAGTTCTGCTGTTGTTAGAGGAGAGAGCTGCTCAGCTCCTCAGCACAGCGGAGGTCCCAGGCAGAGTCGGTCTGTGTCGAGGAGGAGAGTGGAGATGGAGGCTGAGGAAACCACAGAAATGATAGAAGGCTTGAAAACAAGTCTGGTGCAGAAGTGTCTGCTTGTTGTGTCTGTTCGGGACATGATTACGGAGGGATACGATAAGTCTGGTACTAAATGTTGAACGGTTGTACAGTGGTGAACGGTCCTCTGAGCCCACTGTGGGCAGGACAAGGAGTCCTGGGCTTTGTTTGTGCAGAGAAGTATTCAATTAGGCATTATGATAGCAGTGCAGCCCCCGAACAGCTTGTTCTACCTGCTAAAATAAAAATAAAGCCTTTATTTTTTTACTCCCTCTGTTTCAAAGGGATCCAGGCCCTGAAACAGGTGACCAAGAGATATGCCCGGAGGCAGAACAAATGGGTCCGAAACCGCTTCCTGAGACGTAAGTCCTCTGTTCCTCCCCTGCCTTGCCATCCCTGCTCTCGCATCTCTTCTCATCCCTCCTCGGCACATCCCCTGCTCCCAGCTTTAAGGAGGAGAGTGGTGGCTCCTCTGCTCTGGGGTAGCATGCGTTGGGGGGGGGACACGAGTCTGGCAGAGATCAGGCAATCCCACCCTGATTCTTCCTGCTGGGCCCGGCTGCCCCTCTGCAGGTGTCTGTCCCTGGCCAGATCCCTCCAGGAGCCAGAGGCATCCAGTGTCCCAGTCGATTCCTTTGATCCTGGCTCTGCCCCGATTCCTTCCCACGTGTTTGGGTTGCAGAGCAGCCGCTCGGCCCTGCTGAGACAGCCCACCCGGCACCGTCCACGTTTATCTTGCCCACAGCATCTGTGCCCAGATACTTAGGAGTCCCGCTCCTTCTCACTGCTTCCCCAGTACCCCTGGCCGCCTGTGAAAGGAAGACCTTCCCCTCCCGACAGAAGTGCCATCAGGATGGCTGATACTCCAGTGGAACAAAGCAAGCAAAGCCTTAGCCCCGTGCTGGGCTGCAGTAGATGATGAAGGCCACAGCGTCCCTGCAGCCCATCCTGCCGACAGCTCCCGAGGGGCTCGGGGCTCGGGTGCCCAGCATGGTCCCTCTCCTCCCACACCCACACATGCTTCCCACGCAGGGCGAAAAGCCCAGTTGACAGCTGCCCTCCAGATTAGGAGCAGGAGCCCACTGGCCGCTCTTCGCCTGGGCCACGCTCACGGCGGTGGCAAGGAGCCAGCAGGACTTCCCCATCCCAGCCCCAGCCTTGGAGCACGGCCAGCAGCAGCAGCTGGGAGCCGGGCACTTGTTGAAAGGTGCTTGGTAGGGGCAGAACAACAATAAAATAAAATAAAATAAAAGGCAGGGAGAAAGTCGGCTCAAAAGACGGGCTTTGAGCGAGGTGCAAGATAGAGCCATGTGCTCGGTGGCTGTGTCTCACCTTTCTGGTGGCAGGTGTGCTTCAGATCAGCCCCGTCGGGAGTTTGTTTGTGGTTGCA